TGATAAAACTAATTCAAATCAAATTACTATAAGTCCAATCACTTTTATCAATGATCCACAACCACATATAATAGAACGTATAAAACAATTGTTGATGATTATTTTGATAATGCAGAGAATAGTACACGTGAAACTACGTTAAACAATGTTGATGTGAATTTATTCATTCCAATGATATTTCTAGTTTTGGATCAATTGACTGAATTTAAAACTGCCACCAATCTATCAGAATCACAAATTCTAGTTGATAGTCATTTAACTGGTATTGATAAATTATTCACTGATCCTACTACTCATAATATTACATCAACTACATTGACTAATAATGTACAAGCAAGTACAGAACAAATACCTAGTGAAAATAAATCCTTATCTACAACTACAACTACACCAGCAGCTGTATCAGCAGGCACAGCTAATATCAAATCAAAAACAACATTGTTTGGTGATGCATTTAGTTCAAGTATAATTCAAGCTCAAGATAGTAAATACACTAAAAATCTAATACGTACAGTTATTCAACGTGCTCTTATTAAAGTGGAAGAAATTTCAAATGAGTTAATTTCAAAGAATATTTCAGTTCATTCAAAACCACTGATAGTGATTGTGCAGGAAAAGCATATTGATTCGATGAATGCAAATTTTCAATCAGATGATCGTTCTTATGCTTTGAAATACACTAAACCTACTGAAGATACAATTTTCGAGGAAAATGAAGTTGAATATCAAACAAGCGACAATGAAAACTATGACACTACACCTTATACTAAAGAGTCAGAATATAACTCTTCACAAAATAAAATCATTTCATCTGGACATCATTTAACGAATTCACATTTGAACTTGCATCATTCAAAAGTTCCTTATGGGTCTCGTGGATATATTGATCAATTGATACGTAGTGGAAGTACCATTTATCAAAGTCAAGCTATGATGGTACCATTTTACAAATGTAAAGATTTACCTAACAGAACTAGACTTTTATCAATAACTTCAGTGGATGGACCTGAACAAGCTGTTGACTTATTAGTTTCTAAAATAAATGATGAAGAGGTTGAACAGTGTTCACTTGATGATCGAATAAACAAACGAAAAATGACATTCATCAATTTGAAAAATATTCTTTTTCTTAGTTTCCTCATCAATCGTTCATTAAGTTATATTGCTGATTCCATTCTATATGGTCATTTTATTAATTTCGGCATAAGTAGTGGATTGAAAGAAGAACAAGCCAATAGTTTACTTGCTTATGTTGGAATATCAAATATGCTTGGCAGAATAGCCATTGGACTTTGTGGACAATTTTCAACTAGACTAGATATTCGTTTACTTTCAGCAATTTGTTTACTCATTATATCAATGCACACCATTGTTATGCCATTCTATCCAACTTATTCAGCTTTAATTGCCTACGGGATATCTTATAGTATTTTTGTTGGACCAAGTTTTGCATTTTCACATGCAATGGTTATCAATATAATGGGTGATAAAAAGATTGACAGAAGTTTATCACTGGTTTTATTTTTCGAAGCAACTGGTTATTTAATTGGTGGTCCATTAGGAGGTTAGTCAGTATGTTTGTCTTAATTTGTATTCCGCTGATGTGGTTGTTAACTCTCTGTTCATTCCATTTACTGAAAAGTTAATTCACTTTATGCATCGAAGTGAGTGAAACTGAACGAATATCTCGATTAATTTGCAACAACTTATCATCCAATACTAATGAGGGGCAAGAATAGCTACCCTCACCAGTACACAAGTATACAAAAATGTCTGTGTCTGGTACAACACATCCACGACTCTATCGACAAAACGGAAAGTGCCATGACATTGCCGAATATTGACCTCATTTAGGGTTATCACCATATTCCTTTTGTGAAAGTGAAAACGTCTGTTATCACTCCACTCAGATTATTTGGACTTTTGCGAATGGCTTTCGGATTCACGAATGCAGCTCAAACCTTCCAGAGATTCATCAACAAGGTCATCATAGGTTTTTCTAGCTTGAATGTATACATCGAAGACACGTTTGGAGCTAGTGCTACAGCGGAAGAATATCTACAATAAATAAGATGTCTGTTCAATAAACTACAAGAACATGGTGTTGCCGTCGACGTTCAGAAGTGTGAATTCAGAAAGGAATCACTGCAAATTCCAGGACACGTGATAAATTCTAAAGGTATCACGTCAGTTCCAGCAGAAGTTGTAGGCCCATCAAAAATCACTGTTGAAGCAGTACTACAGCGGTTTGTAAATGGTGAATGGCAAACGATTTCATTTTTCTCAAATATATTAAGTGCTACTCAAACGTGATACAGAATTTTTGAAGAGAACTGCTAGCAATCTACTTGGTAATAAAGTATATCCGATATATGCTTGAGAGTACAATTTTACAGTGTATACAGATAATAAACCCTTCATAAAAGCACTAAACACCAAGCAGGATACTTATTCGCCTACGGAAATTTGACAATTGGAATCGATTTGCCAATTGACTTCGAGCATACAATTATTCAGAGGTCATAAAAACGAAGTAGCCGATGCATTATCACGAAGAATGATAAATGCTCTCATCCATCCTGACATAGATTATCACAAACTAACAGCATTACAAAATATGCATGTTCAGCTAAGCAGTTTAAGATAATCCAAACAACTGATTTGATACTTAGAGAAACACAATTCAGCAAAACAAGCATAACGTGTGATGTCTCTCTCTCTCTCTCTCTCTCTCTCTGAAAATCGATAATTCAATACCGAAAATTTGGAAAGCTATTCAAACTGGCAAACAGTATTTAGGTGATCTTCTATCGCATTATACGAGGATCCTCATTAGACAAATTCATACGTAAGTGGTTGACAATTTATGAGATAAATCAGTTTACAGGTGTGACCAACTAATTGATTAATTGACGAACTAGTTGTCCATGCTACATACAGTCAATCATAAATGAACCATTGAATTGATGTAAATGAAAATGTCTACACAATTTTTTTTTAATCAACCTTTCTTGTTGTAAAAATACTTACATTGTTATTATTTTCTTTATTTTAGGTGTAATCAAAGATCAAACTGAGAATTATACATATACATTTTTATTCGCTGGAATATGCAATACAATTTCAGCTGTAATCATAACTGTACATGCACTCATCAACTTCAATATATTCGGAAGAATGAAACAATGTTTGTGCAAGCATAATGTGTGACTGTTGTCGCTATGTAACGAATAAACAGACAAAATGATACTTACTACTAAATAAGCTATTTAGTAGTCTGTTAGAATATTTACAAATATTAACTAACCAATTCAAAGAGAGAATTTTTATATTGTTTCATCAATTTCATTATTTTTCAATACACCGGTTATTGTTCACTTAGAAATATATTATGAACATTTTGTACACTAGAGTTGTCGATAAGTTTTTTGAGTGTTTTACAGGATTGAGGTGTACTGCTTAGATTTTAGAAGGTTTCAATTGTGTCTAGGTTTCTTGAATATTTTTGTAAAAACCTCTGTCTTGTCGGATACATTTATAATTGTTATTTATTGAACTGAACTTCTAATACTGAATGATGTGATTATTATTATCCCTATTACCATGAGATAAAAGTTATTCGCATTCATTTACTACAAACTATTTGAATGTCATAAAATCTGTACAATTGTAATAAATTATTCATTAACGTTGTAATAGTAATTGAACTTTTGGTTAATAAGTCCACAGTGCTAATCACAAAGAGATGTAAACAGTATAAATGAGGACCTGTTAAATAGCTACTTTATAGGATGATGGAACGATTAACCAAATTTAAGTTTAAAACCACATTCATTATGTACTGATACACTGCATAACACCATGTAGAGAACGATATTTATATTGATTTTTACAAGTGGGTTAAGAACAGGATTGTTAATATATGGACTTATTACAAGTTTTGTTTTAATCACTTTGAAAATCTCAAAACAATTAACCTCATCGGTAATACTATATATGATGATCTTGCTAACAAGACCTTTATATCAGTATTTTGTAAAATAATTTAGAAGTTTTTATGTCTAATGTAACAGTTTGAATAGCTACTACTGAAAATCTACTTAAGTAGAGTCCATATTTACTGAATATTAAAAGTCAGTGGTTGATGAGATGAGTGAGAAGTTTAAAACTAATATGATCATGTTGCAACTCAGTTATTTTTCTCAACAAATCTACAAACAAAATGTTGGTAAACTGAAATAGTTATTTATAATCAATGATTGTTGAATAGAAGATTATGTAACAATCTTTTTTATTTACCAATCGAATCTACAGTTGCTATTCCATGATGTTATTTTTAAGTGTTACACAATTTCAAAGCAATTCACAGATATATTTTTAGTTTGTATGAAACAATTAATAATCTCTATCAAATGAACTACATTTCAGTGAATCCGGTTTACATTTAAACAAAAGATAATACCAAGTAATTTCAGATTACTCAAAATTATTATGTCACAGCATTCAAAGTTAAAGATGTTGAGAAGGGATTTCAATTTGGTAGAAATTAATCTCATTTAGACGTTCTGTAGACATTGGTTCTTGATTAATGTGATTTACATATGCTTATTGAACGCCGAATTAAGTTCCATTTGTCAATGCACAGTTTTTTGGAACAAATTTTTATTCAAACACACAAACGGCCATAAACATACGCTAAGATTATTGGGCTGGGATGTTTATCCGAGTGCCGAAACCGAATCAAGTTGTTTCATAAGGTAACATTTCAAGTCTTTGATGTAGAGGTCTAATCCATTAGGCAATGGAGCAATGTTAAGCTCCAGTAGTAACCGATGACCAACAATCAGTTCATAAGTTATTTGTTACCTCACGATTCTACAAATAAATTGGCTGTTAATATGTAATGAAGTCTTAATCTTGTGATAGTGGAGAGAATTTGTAGCTCAGGTGGATGATTGTGGTGTTGTTCCTTTGTCTGAGCTAAATGTTTTGGTTGTCAAGCTTTCGTTGTTCTTCTGAACAACATCATCAGCACAAACTTCAAATAAAAGTGAAGTAATAGGATTTCCCCACGTCTGACCTGTAGCTTGATCTGTTAACTTCGATCTTAATTGGTTGCTACTGCCCTTAAACCTGTCGTTGTTTGCATCTTTGTTTTGATTGTATCCCACTCTTGATCTGTTTCTCGATCCTACGTCGCCTATGAATTTTCTGATTGGTTGACAAATTGGGTCACCGTCTATGTGTTTGTTGATTGCTGACTGACCTCTGAGTGCCAAGCTTCTAAAAGTTCTCTAGTGTTATTTGTGCTCCGCCTATCCAGTATTTCTACATTGTTCCAGTCGAATGTATGTCTATAATTGTCTGTGTGCATTGATATGAGCGAAGAATTGTCGTGTCGTTTGACTGCTAATTGGTGTTCACGTAAATGAAGCTGAAGAGACCGTCCACTATGTTCAATGTAGTGTTTTTCACTGTCACTGTGAAAGTTCTCTGGGAAGCTTAGTTGGTAGAACGTTTTTTATTTCATCACATCTTCAGCGCACAATTTCCAATGTGTTTCCAGCTTGTTTCTTCAAACAATAATATAAGATGAAAATATCTCAATACATTTTTTCCCTATCTTCAGGCTTTTCAGTCAAACCAAATCTAAACAGGAAGATGTTTAGCCCAAAACTGTGACCGATTTACTATAGGAAGGTTATAGACAAAAAGCGTATTCGTTATGAATCAATCAAAAACTATGAATTATTGTGCACTGTCGATTTACGTATTACTCATACGATCGTGATTAGTTACATAGAATAATGAAAACATGTAACATCACTCATTTTGACTACTCTTCTGAATGGTTTTTATTGGGTATGATAGATGCCCAGAAATCACTTGTGAAAGGTCGTGATTCCGTAATTTATTTCTGAAATTTGAAGTCTATGTTTTCGCGCCAAAGATGATTATTTTGAGTTTCAGCTTGCATTTCCCACTCGGGAAATCCTTGAATGTCATTGGTTGACGGATTATTTCAGCACGTTATTTTGTGGATCTTAACAAAGGCATTTTATCAATGTATAAATAAACTTGAGTTGTATGCTTGTTAACCTAGTACTATCTGGGTGCCTGTGGAATACATTTATTTACGTCTTATCAAAACTTCTACCGCTAGTTGGTGGGGTCTGGGACGATCGGATTAGAGTAGGCTATTGTGTCGCTGAATCATTGGTCTTCGTTACATTTACCGAGTAAGGTGAACTCGTAATAGCTGCAAGCAAATCAGTTTTGGAAATCGGAACAAAGACAAATAACTTATTTCAAATAATGTAAAAGATACTACTGCAACTAGGTATGCTAAAACATTTTGTCTTGAAAATTTCGACGTACCTATAAATCCCACGCATGAACAAATCGTACTGTGGATAATATACAAGACTGACGTCCCTACTTACTTAAAATTCTATTTGATTAACTTAAACCATGCTACACGAGTAAAAGAAAGTTTAGCTAACACGATTCGGAATATTTAATTAATTAACACCAATTAATTTTGAACAGCATGTATCACATAGACATTACGTGCAAAGTCCTGACATATGAATTATGTGGAGTTCAACTTGATTTCTCTTAAACTAGAATAATTTGAATAGTTTGGATTGGATGTGTTTTTTATTAATCTAAGAAAGTAGTGAACTATTTTCTGCTTAGTACTCCACCTAAAGCCCCTCTGGGCTACTGCAGGTCCCAAGACCGGAAAAAGGGATGATGGTTGGGCATGCGGTTGGCGACATAATTCCATACAAAACTAACTCATTAAAAAACGCTCACCAGAAAACAATTTAATCAATTTTCACCCTGCCTTGGGAGTTGGGTCTTCATTCAGAAGAGTTATGACGTCTCATGATGAAAGCCAAGTTCCTTCGGAAGTCACGAGGCCGATGTCTCTTCTGACAACTAAAGCAATCATTCTTTTAGGTACATGGAACGCTCGAATATTGTGAGAAACTGGGAGACTATTTCAAGTTGCTGCAGAAGTGAAAAGATACAACCTCGAGGTGCTCGGCATCAGTGAGACGCATTGGACACAGGCAGGACAACTGAGACTAGCTTCAGGGGAACTGCTGTTATACTCTGGTCATGAAGAGGAAAATGCTTCACATACACAAGGAGTTGCACTGATGCTGTCCAAGCAATCACAAAAGGCACTGATAGGATAGTGATCTCACGGACTCAGTATCAGCAAAGCATTCTCCCAAACAAAGGAAGAGGACATTAAAACGAAAGTCATCCAATACTTTGAACCTACCAATCACTACAAGAACGACGATGAAGATCAATTCTACGAAAGGCTGCAGTCAATCGTCGACAGATGCTAATCAAAGGACTTGACGATTCTGTTGGGAGACCTAAATGTCATGGTTGGCATGAACGACACTGGATATAAAGACTTCATGGGACACTATGGACTGGGAGAAAGTAACGAAAAGTGGGGAGATTTGCAATCCTATGTGCCTTCAATAATCTGATCATCGGTGTCATTTGACTAGATTATTTTGTCTAACTAAAACTACTTAGACATGCCTCATTACATTGAGTTGACACAGTGTGTGTCTCCACTTCTCTTTGCTTTGCTTTGCTTCTTCGCCTTTCATTCCTATGTCTTTCTATTTGAACGATTTTATGAAAATAAATTCATCCATCTCGCTCTGTATTCGGCTCCTTATTACCATCGTCATTCAAACGGTAATGAAATTTATTCTCAAACAAAAATGTGTCACATGAGGCATATTATGACTGTGATTAACACTAGAGTATAGAAGACTATGACAAATTAAACTAATGAGTTGGGAATCAATCATACATCTTTGTTTTTTTTTGGCCTCGTAATGGATTATCTATAGAGCGATATTGATTGATTTTGTAAGAGCGAAAGCTTGTTGAAATCTCTTCTTGATTATGAATAAGCTGATAATCACACTTTGTTGATAAAAATGAAACATTGACATGATAATTTAAAATATCATTTTTTTCAAACTTTTTGAATCAAACTTATACAACAACACTTTACAACACTTTTCTTTCATTTAGCTAACAATCACTGAGTTTCTTTGTAGTCAGTGAATGAATCAGAGTCACCTTAGAAGATAAACTGTACGCAGAGTGCTGTGAGTACAAAAACAACTGACAACTCATTGATTATGATGTGTTTTGTAAATGTAACACATAGTCATTAGAATTCTTACAGTCTTTATTGAATTAATTATATGGCCAAAACAGAAACAATTTTAGGTCATCGGAGAAAAAGCTGACAGTTTAAAATTGATCACACAGACATAAGTAAAGGAATGTAGAAATCAATGACGGAAATTGGATTTCTTTGTACAAATTAATGGTACTGTACTCTGCTTTTGTGTGTTTTCTTTCATTCATAGAAATCTGTCAGCACCTTGGGGAATGTTGATATTAACAATATTTGGTCTTTATCAACAATATGATTGATAACTTAAAACAGTTTGAACAATCAAAATAAATTCAAAATGAAAAAATGAAAAAGGTGTAGTACTGATAATTTCTGGCATATTTTAGTGTTAGTGACCAATGAGTAATTTTGCCTGTCACTTTAAAATGCACATAAAACTTGAGGTATCTTTCAAAGAAAATTCTAGATAAAGAAAAGAAATCAGAAGAAATGTGTTTGTGTCATATCGGTGAAAATA